TGAGACAAATAAGCCCAGAGCTAAACTTAATGCTCCAATGTCAGATACTCTAATAATTAGTCTATACTTTTGCTTGCATCCTTTCTTTGTATGTGTGTGTCTTATATTTTACTTCATCAGGCATTGTAGTTTCTTCAAGCTATTTCTTGGATACAGATATGGGGTATATATAACCAATAAGGAGGCAATTCTCTCTCCTGAAGTAGTCTGGCCAGGGGCAGAGGAAAACTGGTGAAGATTCTAGAGTTCCCGGTGATCTGGGTTGCCTTATCTGAGGGCTGTGTCCCCTATGAGTTTCTTATCGCTCTTTCAGGGGGAAGTTAGGGGTGCCACCTGGGAAACTGGTCCTGGAAAGTTCTGAGAGGCATGGTTAACAAGACAGTGGATTATTTAAAGCTTTCTGTCTTCTCTTCCTTCTGACTCTTCACTCTTGGATGCCTTTAGACCACAGGGGAAGGTGAAACAATGACAACTCACGTAACTTCTAGTGAATGGTTCTTTTAGGGGAAAAAAGGCAGGTACATGATGAGAACATGTTCTGAAGATTTCCCCAGACTAGTTAACAGGTCTGGGTGATCTACCTTCTTGCTACTCAAAGTGTGGTCTGTAGACTAGCAGCTCTGTAGCAGTTTACCTTAGTGGGTTCTGGAGACATCCTGGAGTTCAAATCCTGCATACTTCACTAAGGAGCTGAGAGATTTTGATCAGCTTACTAAACCTCCCCATCTCAGTTCCTAGTTTATAGAATGAAAATACTAATACTACCTACATTATAGGGAGAATGAGATTAGTTGATGGGCCTACTGCACTTCAAACAGTGCCAGGCACAGAGCATGTGCTTAGTAAATGGTAACCACCAAGAGGATCATTCCTTCCACGCATGCTCTCAGCACTCACCATCACCACAGCAATCCCGATGCCCACTGCGCCGATGATGTGGAACTTGTTGTGGAAGACATCACTGATGGCCTCAGGGCAGGGCTAGGGAGGCAAAACAAGAGCTGGTCACACACCATCCAGGCTCCAGGTGTACCCTCTCCCTCCCACAGCACCCGTTTCACACAGGGAACACTGGTGGTCCCAGGGAATGTGTGAGGACAGGAGGCAGGGAGAAGAGATGTCCTGGCTGGTGGACAGAAAGGGAAACCAAGAGAGATATGAGAGGTGGGTCTCGAAAACTTGAGCAAGAAACCAGGGAAGGAAGAGGGTTAAGCCCCTGCTTTGGGGTCTGTTTCTGACCTGTTCACAGGTCACTTACCATTCCAGAGCTTGGACTTAGATCTAGCTATACAAGCATGAGCCATTTATAAAGTTGAAAAAGTACTGTTAGGTCAATACAGGAGCCAGGATTCAGAGCAGATCTGCTCTCTACTAGTAGCTTGAGGGTTTGGGGACCAGAAGGTGGGGTAGCATTTGGAAACCTCAGAAGTCCAAGTGAGGCTGGGAACTAAAATGCTTTGGTCATTCTCTGGTCTGGCCTTTGTTTTGCTGCCCTTGGGGAAACAGAGGCCCCAGGGCAGAGGAGAAATGAGAGGGCCACACTGGGGCTGTCTCATGGGTCAAAGTGGTCTATGAAGTGCGTGGACACCTGTTTTCCTAGAAGGAGATGGCTGACTTCCCATCTACCCTCAAAGGATTTGCCCAGAGCAACTGGGCAGGGCCATACGAGTCTGGTTCTTAAGTTTACCTTTATTGTGATGGTTGCGATCAATTCCTTTTTGGGGCAAATGTCCATGATAAATTGTTCCAAACCTCCAGCTAAACCGCAGCAGTCCAGCTGCAGAAAGAGGGACAGGGTTAAGGGTGAGAAGAACAAATAAGAAGATGATTAAAAATTGGTTTGGTACAGCAGGTACCCTGTGTACAGGTATGTTCTGAAGAAAGATCAGAAGGATTTTAGTTTTTTTTTTTTTGCAGATCAGACAACATACCGCATAGTGGATGGCTTTCAGTGTTTCCCGTTGGGGCTCATCCTTCGATTTCAGCTTTTCGTAGGTGTCAGCGTAAAATTTCTGGACTTCTTTAATGACCTACAATGGACAGACAGTACCAGAGATGGCTTTTTCATATACTTCTTAATGAACAGATGTCATCTGTTCCATATTGTTCACTCTCTTTAAAGTTCTGTCAACAATGTCTGGGCTCAGAGAAGACTTCAGTCACTGAGAAGACTGACACCACTAGCTCCATCTTTCTCAGTGCTTCTGCGGCCCCTCCTGTCTCCTCTTCTGTGAAACCCATTTCCTTCCATATCCTCTAGGAACTTGCTCCAGCAGCTTCTTTTTTTCTTTTGCACCTTTGGTTGGTTCCTTTAGTTCTACTTAGTTCCCTCCCTTCTACTAACAAGACTGAATCCCCTGCATCTGAACAATCTGCTCCTGGTCTAGCTATTTCCTCAGGCTTCCTTTTACTTTAAAAAAAAAAAAAAATTATTGTGTTTTTGGTGAAAGTTTACACAGCCAATTAGGTTCCCATTTCACAATTATTACACAAATTGTTTGGTGACATCGGTCCCTTCCAGTTAGTTTCGCTTCCAGTAGTCTGCTGGTTTCTCTTTTCATCTTTGTTTTAGAGTAACTGTTGACCATTTGGTCTCATACAGATAAATTTTTAAAGGTACAGTATTCACTGGTAATATTCTTTATTTTATGGGCCAATCTGTTATTTAGCTAAAAGTTGACCTCAGGGGGTATTTTCTGTTCAAGGTTTATGGAACAAATCGTCTTGACTTTCTAGAAATGAGTTCTGTTTCACATCTTCCACCCATTCTATTGTGGGGAATATAATATCCATCTACTGTGGCCCTGATTACAACAGTCACTAGTAGCCGGGCACCATCTAGTTAGTTCTTCTGGTCTCAAGGTTGATGAGGCTGTGGTTCATAATCTAGTAGACTAGTTTCTTCACTGAGTCTTTGGTTTTCTTTTCTCTCTTTTGCACTTAGAAGCTGTGTAATATTTGGCAAATTACTAAACCTCTATGTAGATCAGTTTCTGCATATGTAGGATGGAGATTGTAACAATCCCCACCTCACAAATACTTCATATTAAACGAGCTATTGCATGTTAAGTCTTTAGCATATTACTCTGTCTACTACAGAGTAAATGTGGAATAAGAGTGAGCTATGAGTTGTAAATATTATCCTCTTGCACTTAGGTGCATCCCAGTTTAATGTATGCCTGTTCCCTTGACCTCTACATCCTATTAACTGACAAACACCCAGAAATTTCCCTTAGCATTTTTTGTAATTATCTGTATCTATTTCCATGGTGATTGTAGCTTTTAATGCTTAGGCAGCTTTTAATGCTTAGGTCATTAAATAATTTAAAAACAACAACAAAAAACAAGGTTACTGCATCCAGCATCTCTCTTCCTTTCTTTTCCTTCCTGCTAAACACAAGATGGCCCATTCTAAAAAAAATACTGCTCTGTTGTGGCTCACCTTGGCTCAAAATTCTTTAGTGGCTTCCCATGGAAGCCCAAACTCAGCTGTACTGAGACCCTTCCTTTGCCTGAAAGTGCCCCCTGCCACCAACTCTCCTCCTGAAACCTACTCTCATTCAAGTTATAGGCCAATGCCCACTTCTCCACGAAGCCAGAAGAGATCCCCCTGCCAAGGCCTTCAACCCTCCCTGGTACTTCTGGATACGAATCACTTGTATGATACTTTTCAGATGCATCTCTTCCTCCCATAGGAAAAGTGCATACTAACACACGTTCACAGACCCAACAAATATTTCTTGAACATCTGCTATGTGCCAGGTACCATTGAGGGAGCTGGACATACAGTGGTTGGCCAAACACCCACACAGAGTAGTTAATGGTCACATTCCCTGTCCTCAGGAAGCATGTGTTCTGATGGCATGTGGGAATGTGGCAAATGGGAGGCATGTTCAAGGGTTGAAAGCTGACCAAAGTGACCCCCCTTCCACCCTCATCATTCCCCATACACCCAAATCATTGAAGGATTCAAAAGACCTTTGGGAAAAACCTACCTCATCTTTGTGGGAATATCCCCAGATGGCTGCAGCTATTTCAAGGGCAAATATCACCAAGAGGAAGCAAAAGAACTAGAAGACAAAGAAGGGACAAGAGTGAGGAATAATCCTAGCCAACCAGCTGGAAAGTCAGGCCCTGGGACTTTAAAGGGGGCTGTTTAGTCAGATGGTATTTTGGAACAAGGAAGAATGGCAACTCTCTGGGGAATCAAGGAATAACTTAGAAGGGCAGGGAAAGTTTATAGAACAGGCAGGGTTAAGCCTAGGCAAAGAAAGTGAAAGTTGTACCAACAAAGGGTACCCATTTAGGGGGAAAGAGCTGGGCATAGCCCATCCGAAAAACTAGTGTTTATAAGGTGTTAGTTAAGAGCAATAAAATATCATTGCTCACTCACAAAAAACATAAAGACTTGGGGAAAGAAAGGAAGTGAGTATACCCTGTGGAGCGTGAGGAAATTTGAGACAAATTTTGAAATAAGGAGGAGAGGAGAAGGCAGAGGTACCTGTGGATTCAGGGTAAAAAAGCAAACGTGGTCCTCGAGTAAGGGAAAAACAAAGTCCTGGCATATAGTTGCCTAAGGGAAGTGATAAAAGAGGCTCCAGAAAGGCAGAGGAGTGATGGAGTGATGCATCACCACAGGGGAGGGGATCCAGCATGGAGGACAAGATGGCTGCTGGGCTAGAGGCTGTGCAGAGTCTAGAGTAGAAGAACACTAGGGACAGTAAGGATAGCTCATGTCCTTTAGATATCCTCTTCACACTATCCTGACCCTTCCCACTCCCTCCCATCTGTTGTATGAAATCTGGGACTGCTGAGATTAGGCTGGGGGAGGAGGGAGTCAGAGTAGCTATGCAGAACCAAATAGGATACTCACCAATCCCAGCATGCACTGGGACTCTTGCACGGCCCCACAGCAGCCCAGGAAACCCACCAGCATCATGAGGGCCCCGGCTCCAATCAGAATATAAACTCCTGAGGGGAAAAACAAAGGAAAAGGACACACACGTGGAGACGTTAGTTTGGGGACCCAGATATTTCCTGCAATTCCTTTTTCCCTCTATGTCACTCTGTGTCTCCTCTCATTCTTATTGTTGCTATCTCAGGGAGGTGCCCCTTCCTTGGGGGGGGCGGGGGGAGCCTCCTCACGTATACTTTTGGTTTCCTTCTTCTCCAGGACCCTACCTCATATTAAGCCTTCGTTCCTACCTCTCCCCTCTTTTTTTGGGGGAAGGTGTCTTTTATCTCCCACTCTAGCACACGGAATATCCATGGGAACGCTCAGATTCTGCTCAGGACACAAACTGGTCCAGTCCATCAGCTGTTTCCAACAAGATGACTCTAACTCAAGCAATTTACAAACAGACACTCCATACTTGGGCTCATTTTTTGGACTCTGCAGAGCCTCCTGCTGGCCTCTGCCTCACAGGAGAGGCTGCCAGACAAGCTTTCCCAGGAAGGGATTGTGCACATTCAGCTATCACACTCTTGGGTGGGTCAGCTCTGCCTGATTCCCAGAAGGGATGCCTCCCTGCTTCCACTGCTGCACAGTTAGGCAAGTGCAGCCACACCCAAAGGCACTAATTGTTGTGTGAGCTTGGGTAAGACATTTTACTTTTCTGGGCCTCAATTTCCTCATCAGTAAAATTAAAGAGGTTGGTTGCTAGAAAATTTCAAAAGATGCCTTACAGCACACTAAGGAAATTTTACAGTTGCAATTCAATCTTCTAGGTTAAGGGTGAAGAGGATCCTTCTTACTAAGGGTAAGGTGAGACATTGTTATATACTAAGTCCTCCATTTTAATGGTTGATTGGGGAGGGAGCAGTGAGAAGGGCAGGGACTTCCATACCACTGTCTCTGACCTACCACCACACAAAATCCTGGGACAGGGACCATAGCTAGCAGCCCTGATCCTGTTCATTCCATGACACTACCAAGGGAAGCCCCTTTGCCCCCCATCCTCCTCCCCAGAGGGCTCCACGGGGAAATTGTCAGAGAAGTCCCAGGGCCTCCTTGCAGGCATGTTTTATCCAACTTTGGGAGGGGCAACAGTCACATGTTGGGAACACCAGCTCCAAAAGTTTGAAAGCCAGTTCTGTGACTCTGAGCAAGCCACTTCATTTCTCTCTGCAAGTTTTCTATCCGCAAAATGGGGATGGTAGCAATACCTACCCTCATCTAAGGGGCACTGTGACGATTAAATGACGTAATCCCCAAGGGCACAATAAATGCTAATTTATTTTTAACCTTGGCTAATCCCTGGGTGGTGGAAAGGATAAGTGCTTAGCTACCAGCTTCAATGTCTGAGGTTCGAATCCACCCAGAGGTGCCTGGGGAGATAGGCTTGGCGATCTGTTTCTGAAAGGTCATCCCTATGGAGCACAGTTTTACTCTGCACACAGGTTGCCATGAGTCAGAAGACTTGTTGGCACCTAACAACAATAAACTGTTAACCTTTATTACCAGCCTAAAGGATGAATGTTATATACTTGCTGTTCCCTCCCTTGAACTGAGACCATGGAGGCTTCCCTGAAGTAAGGGCTGAAAACCAGAGCCCACAATACACAACAAGATACTGCGATGAGAACTCTTTGCAGCGACACAGTGACCTCACTGTCTCCCATTTGTTCCCTCAGTGCAGGGCTATGGTTCTGCAGGCTACCAACCATGCAATCTGCCCCACAGCTGAAAATCCTGGGCGACACAGAGCTGAACACACACAAGGGAGCATTTGTGTCCTTCCCCTCTTCCCCCACATCTGTCGTGATGTCAAGTCACGTGGGCTTCCTGGCAAACTCCCACGTGGTATGTGAATATGGGCATTGTTCCCATGCACGCCTGGCCCAGACTGGGCAAGGTGACAAACGCAGCTTGTCCTGGAGTCCAGTCCCATCCTCCTGTACTGTCACACACTGCAGAGCCAGGCTGGTTTAGGGAGGCAGCGCAAGACCCTCAGGTCTTGGGTCTAATATGGTGACACTAGCAAGGGGAGGTTGGAAAAGAGGCCCAGTCTCCCCATCTCATCAGGGCAACACAACAGAAGATGAGGGCACTCCTTTTTAGTATTAAGAGATCAAAGGGATTTATAAACACATGAAATACAGTTGAGTGTGAACTGAACAGATACACATGTTTTCTCTAAGTTCAGGTCCAGTTCCTAAGTCCAGGCAGCCCTGGAAAAAGCCAGGGGAACTGGGCCAGCAGCATTGGTGGGTTACTATATGAAAAGACATTTCTCCTGCAGAGAGAGAGTGAGAGAAAGGGAGAGAGAGAGAGAGAGAGAGAGAGAGAGAGAGAGCGCGAGCGCAAGAGAGCAAGCCGCAGAGTGAGAGTGAGGGAGAGGGAGAGGGAGAGGGAGAGGGCGAGAACATTCTCCTAATGGGTCTCTCAGCTAGTATTAAATATTTATCCTACGGCTCAGCAGAGTAAGATGTTAAGATAAAGGGTCTTGTTGCTGTTAATATTGCACGGACAGCTGCAGATCTGGATGGTCCGGCTCTACCCTGTCCAGTCAGTGCTGAAGACAAGTTCCCTGGTAGCTGTTTATGGGAATTTTAGCAGCAGCTTTTTAGCTAAGGGTGGCTGATCTGAAAGCAGCCCCTCAGAAGCTGTGGAGCCACTGCAGGGCTCGGGCTGCTTCTTAAAAGGGCCACCCAGTGCTTCTCCTTGGAAAAGCCACTTGGGGCCTGTACCCCAAGCTTATTAGAAAGGCTGGCAATGACAAATGACAAACTGTTCCTCTTTTTAAACAAGTGAATGTTAGCTTTCTGTCTGACTCATGGAAAAAGTTATTTGTCACGGAGGCTTGTCTAGGATCATGGCATTAATTTGCTTAAGGGCTGTTTATTCTGCTTTTTTCAAGCTGACATTATAGGCCTGGTTTGAAAAATAAAAAACAAAACAAAAAACCCAAACTTTTAGTGTAGCCCTAGCATCTGCCAAGGCATCCTTTACACCAGAAGCATTCTCTCTCATCTGCTGAGCAGGGCTCTCAGTTTGGGCAAGGGAGCGGACACATCAGTCTCCCGTCAGCATCCCAACCCCAACTCCAAGCAGCACCACCCATTTACATGGAGAACAAAACCCAGCAGAGCTCCTGGGCTCTACTTGCTTAGGACACAATCTCAAAATAACTTAGCCAGGGGTTCCAAGGAACCTTAACTCTGACCCCCAAGGGCTCTCCCTTGGTTCTTCTCCCTCCCATGGACGGCTATTCTTATGAATAAGCACCACAGTGCAACACCATACCAAGCATGGTCATTCTCAGTCTCAGAGAGGTGTGGGTGTGGAAGCTGTGAGAATGGAGAAATGAGGCACACAGCAACCAAACAAACTGGCCCAGCCCAGGCCATGAGCCAGCAGTGGGCCCCCAGTGTGCTGAGGGCAGGTGCCCTGTGTCTTAGAAATCACCTGGCACTTGTCATAAGAAGGAAGGTGATTCTAGGCAGCAGCAGATGGTCACAGCTACCAGCTGAAGCCCCCAAATGCCTTTGTTCAGTGGCCATGGTTCTGGAAGGACATCTAGGAGTTAAGAAGGGCTGCTGGCCTGGCACCAAGAAAATGCAGTTCCCCAACATGTTTGTAGCCTGGGATTATGGATACTGCTGACAGGCTGAATCTCCCAGGGCCTGAATCGGAGAGAAGGCCCATATAAGGCTGTCAGCCGTTCTGGACTCACTATACTGTTCTAAACGTTGGAAAAGTTTCTGTTTTCACTTGTTCCTCTGCCTGGTTACACCTTTCCCTACTTTGAAAGTTGTGGACTTGCTGAAGAAAAGACACCTCTGGATTTTCCAAGTTTTAGCTGCATTGTCAGGCCAGCCTGGAGGATGACCTACAGAGAGTTAGTGCCCTGTGCAAGGGACAGTCACCCCAGGATGTAGGAATAGTGTCAGGGTGTAGCTGGCACTCCAAGCCCACCTGATGGAAGAGGTTAGTCTCACAGCCCCAGGGTGAAAGGGACACAGAGCAAAGCTTCCTTGGACCTTTGTCCACAGGCTACAAAGATTCCATTTCCCAAAGCATTGAGTGAGGCTCATGGCCCAGTCAGACTGAAACAGCCACTCAGCTTGCTGATGTTCTGGTGTTTCTTGTGTTACTCTCTGTTTGAGGCCTCTCAGCCTCAAGGGACCCTATTCCTTTGACAGAGCTAAGGAGACAGTCATCACTAATCCTCATCTAGGGACTGCTGTGTCTCTCTGAAATTGTGCTTTTGAGTCATTCTTCGGTCACCTCAGGCAGGAACACTGGCCATTGGGGGCCCTGCAATGACCCAGAGGAGCAAATTCCATGAGGTTCCCAGGGGCAGGCCTGGGCTACTCCACTCATATCTTCACTCACTCTCTGGGCCTTTGCCACCTGTCATCCAGTCATGAGGGCCTCCGTAACCGGAGGCTTCTCTCTGAGGACTATAGTTTGGGTGAAGTCACAATGCCAAGAGAATCTCCACCTGCTCTACAGACAGGGATCCATCAGTTTGGTGAGTGGTGATATTTTCTATTTCAACATAGGGAGTCCCCCCACCAACCTAGCACAGATATTCAAAAAGAGACTTTTATAGACCTGGGTTCAAATCCTAGCCTTGTCTCTTGAGGAGCATGGGCTTAGGCAAGTTATTTAGCCTCCTTGAGCCTTGGTTTCTTCATCTGTGAGATGGGCATGATTCCATATACCTTGCAGAGTTATGAGGTTTAAACTCTACAACAACATGTGTAACACAGAGCTTGATGTACCAAGAAGGGGGTTCACGCATGTCAGTTTCACCTCCTAATTCAATTGGCTTACCAAGGAGAGATTTACCTCCCACAGCTAAAAATATATAGAACTAGTCCTAGATAATGAAAAGGAGAAATCCGACTGTTAGGAAAGACCAGAGTACGTTGAGCCATGCATCCTGCAGAGAACAATGGGACGACACAGCAACCCTTCTGCTAAACATGCAGACAGGCTGTGGGGCACTTGCTTAGAAAAGCCCTCCTAAAATACATGCCACCTGCTTCTGTATTTCTGCCTGTAGCTCTGCTCTCCCCAGGGGACCTTCACAGCGTCTTTGTGACATGGAGTGTTAAAAGTCTGTCCTCAGCACCCTGCACTCTGCACCCTGCACCCCCTACCCTTTCGCTAAATAGCACTCCCTGCACCTACTGCTCCAGCTTTACAGGGCTGCATTGCAACCCTGCCCCCCCTCCCCCCAAATGCTCTGTTGCTGAAACAAATCAGGGCACTATGGAAACCTGCTCCTAAAAAACTGTGTGTAGTTTTTTTTCAACTACACATTGTGCTTTTCTTTCCCTCACTTTCCTTCTGACAATAGGGAGACACACCCTAAAAAACCCCAACTAGTAACAATAAAAAAAGCAATAAAACCAGGAAAACAATCCACAAGGCTCAGGTGCTATGTAACCAAACCAGCTTTTTAAAGAGTTTAAACCAGTTTTAAAGAATCCCCAGCCAGGTTTAAGCCAGGCTTCTGGGAAGTGCGAGATGGATGGTCACATGGCCGGCTAGCTTCTCGCAGGCTTGGGAGATAACCCTTTACAGACAGTTTTCTCCGACTTTTGTAAAAATAACTTCTTTGGTGGGTGGGGAGGAAGTGACCGAACTTACACTTTGAACCTGATGACATGCCACTGTTACCCTAAAAATAGGGGGCTGCTTTTGTTTCTCACAAATAAAATGTTGCTTACTCTCTGATGAGGGAAAAAGTAGAGCCACAAATACTGTTAGTTTACTTGGAAATTGGGAAATTGCATTTGACACACATCAGAACTCTGATTCCTCTTAGGAAGGCTGTTTTTGTGGAGATGAGGAAGACAGAGTGACAGAAGGACAGGAACAAAGTGACAAGACGTAGAAAGAAACCTGCTAAATCTACTCGAGTTCAGAGGATTCCCCCCCAAAACCAAACCAGTTTGTGTCAAGTTGATTCCAACTCACAGTGACGCTATATGTTGAGAAGAAGAACTGTGCTCTGCAGGGTTTTCATGACTGTGACTTTTGGAAGCAAATCACCAGGTCTTTCTTCTGAAGCACCTCTGGGTGGGTTCAAATCCTCAACCTTTTGGTTTGTAGCCAAGTGCTTAACCATTTGCACCACCAGGGACTCCTTTAGAGGATCCCAGGTGTGTCTAAACTAGAAGGCTTTCCCCTAAAGCAAACAGGGTAAAAAAAATAAAACTAAACATTCATGGCAGCACCAGGGTCTAAAGGGCTGTCTTCAAGTCTCTCCCATGGACACGACTATATTTTCCAGGAGGCAGGTCTTCTTCTGGGTGTCAGAGTTTCTATCTGGACAGTGGGGAACCAGAAGGCTGGCGGTTCAAACCCACCAGCCACTCCTCGGAAGGAAGGTTGGGCAATCTACTTCCGTAGTGATACTGCCTCAGAAACCCAAGGAGGGGGTCGCTGTGAGTCGGGTCTGGCTCAACAGCACATAACAACAACAACATCCTCTTCCTTGATACCATGGACCCTTGGAACAAAGTCTTTTAGGTTAGGGAAATAACAACACCTTGGAAAACATGTAAGGAGCTCTGGTGGCATAGTGCTTAAGGCATTTGACTGCTAATCTGAAGGCTGGCGGTTCAAACCCACCAGCCGCTCTGAGGAAGGAAGATGGGGCAATCTACTTCCATAAAGATTTATTGCCTTGGAAACCCAATGGGGGTCACTATGAGTCAGAATTGACTTGATGGCAGTGAATTTGGTTTGGTTGGTTTCTTGGAAGACATGTAATTAGGAGAGAGGATCGGGGACGAGAACATAGGTTCTTAAACTCTCAAGAGTGGCAGCAACTTGGGCAGAGCCAGCTTCACATCAGAGAATGGTCAGTGTGAAAAGGAGCCACATCAGTCAAATGCAAATTCATGGGCACAACTACACAAAGGCAGGGCTTGAAAGGGGTGGGACTGGCCAATATGGCAAAAGCAAAAGTCTTTCCCCAGCCCAAGTCCCTGTATAGACACAGAATCTCATAATTGCAAGAAGAACCAAGTCTTCCCTCCTTACCAGTGTAGAAGCTGGAATTATTATTTTCTTGTTCGAAGATGCTCTTGGTCTGAGAGTCAAATCGTAGCCATAGTCCAATGGCAAGAACCGCGATCCCAGCAAGCTGCAAGACATACAAGACAATGGCATTAATTCTCGCTGCCAGGCATAACATAGTCCTTTAGGGTTGAATGTCTGATTTACAAAGGAATTTGGAACCACCCTTAGTCTCCACCCCTTACCAGGCACTTGGTATTAGCCAGCAGCCATAGAGGGGGAAAAAAACCATTCCATTTGTAAAAAACACCATCACAACGAGAATAAACAAGTACCTATCAGCAGCAGGATGAGTACTTTATGGACAATAGGATAGTATACAGCAATGCCAATGAACCAGTGATAGGTATATGCATCTTACAATGATAAGGAAAAGAAGCAAGCTCCACCAGAATACATATAGTATGATTCCATGCAGTTAAGATGGTTACTATACTGTTTCGGGATACACATGGATGCATACATTTATAGTACATAGAAATAGCAAAGGGAAAACAACAAAATAATTATTATAATGTCAACTGAATGGTGGACCTTTGAATGAAGAAGGAATTTATGACCCGGAAGGACTATGGAGGGGAGGTTCTTGGGTGCTGGCAGTCTTCTAGTTTTTGACTTGGGTGGGGATTACATGAACAGTCACTTCACAATTATTCTTTAAACTGTTCATGTTTTACACACTACTTTGTATATATAATCACACAGTAAAAAAGAAACCATCACAAAAAGGACATACATATGTGCCAATGAAGGCAGCTGAACTGTACTTCTCCAACCACCAAAACCAAAAACCCACTGCCACTGAGTGGATTCCAACTCACAGTGACCCCCATAGAGTTTTCAAGGCTGTAAATCTTTATGGAAGCAGACTACTTCCTCTTTCTCCCATTGAACCTTTTGGTTAGCAGCCAAATGCCTTAACCACTGTACCACCAGAGCTCCTTTCTCAAACCACATTGATCAGTAAATGATATATCAGAGCCTCCCCTCATTTGCTTGCATTTGGCCCGTTCTCTCTCTTCACACAACGAAGACCACGGAGAAGACTTTATAAGATGATGGAGCCAACCCCAGAGCATATGCTTCCTTATGAATGATCCTTATAAACACTGGACAAGAAACCTCTAAGTAATCTGATCTTAAAATTTCATGAACATCCCATTTCCCAGGTGGGCAAGTTGAGATACTGAATGAAAATGGCAAACTTTCTCAGTAAAAGCAGACCTGAGATGCTGAATCTTGGCCCGGAAAAGACAGCTTCCTGCTAGGGCCTCCCCCATCCCCACCCAACCATGGCTCACCCCACCCCCAGAGCCAGCTGAGCTCCCTGGGTGCTCGTACCAGGGCTTGCCAGGGGAGTGAGTCACAGGCCTCCAATGTAGTGGCTGGCTGGATGTGTGAGTGGGTGGGCTCTGGGCCAATGCCTAGGCCCCAGGTTTCAGTGGCCCACCCCCTCAACAGAGCCACCCTTATGCCAGAATCCAGCTCTTCAGGCAGCTTGGTTCTTTGCCCTAGGAGCTGGCGACAGCCCACGGCTATAGACAGGCCTCTCTTTCTTTCCTCTTTCTCCTCTCCTTTTCCCCAAGACCTGGCAGTGGGTCTGGACTTGTAGGGTGGAAAGGGGAGAGGGGAACAATGGAAAGGGCAACCTGAGGCCTGCAGTGGAATCAAATCCTTGCTTATTATACCCCCAGATGGTATATGCTGATTTGGTTGTATCACATAGGCGTGTTTCAACAAGTAAGTAAGAAAGTAATAAGTGTTTGGAATTCCTGGCTTAGAGGCCTATTGCTTCAGTTTTCTCAACTGTAAAACAAGAAGTTTAAGATTTCCTTGTCTTTTGTTGTTATTGTTAGCTGCCCTGGTGTTGGTCTCATGGCAACCCAGGCACAATGGAATTGGATAGCTGTGATCCATAGTATTTTCTTTGGCTAACTTTTAGGAGGTAGATTGCCAGGCCTTTCTTCCTAGTCTATCAACTCTGCTGAAACCAGTTTGGTACCATAGCAACATGTGATCCTCCAATGACAGATGGGTGGTGGCTGCACTTGAGGTGCACTGGCCTGGAATTGAACTCAAGTCTCCCACATGGAAGGTGAGAATTTTACCACTGAACACCACCTTCCCTTTCAAGAATGGTTAGAGAATAAAAGTAATTGTGTTAGAAAAAGTGCTTCTGAAGATGGAGGTACCAGATGGGCTTGGTGAGTAACCGAACTTCATCTGCACCAAGGTCAACCAGTGATCCACTCTCCCCTTCTGTGGACAGCTTCCCACACCTCTCAGGCCATGTTAGGTGAGACAACATCAAACATCACTAAGACCCACACAATGTGAAGTGCCCAGTGGCTGTAAAATTAAGAAAAGCAAAGCTCGTGGATGCCAGGCCTGAAGGCATAGGAATGTGATAGTAAGAACCTAAGAGCTTTGGGTTCAGACACATGAGTCAAGTTTTCCTTCTTATTAATTAAAAGGCATACAGATGAGTGAGGTCCTTTGGCCAATCCAAAAACAGTAGAGCAGTGCTTAATGGAGAAGTGTAAGTTTCTCCCAGCCTGTGACCAGCCAGGTTTGATTGTTTCTCATTCAGACTATAGGTTCTCTAGCTCTCCTACAGGGGATGGTGGGGCCCAGCTGGGGACATTTCAGGCTAGAAAACATGTGTGGCATAGGCCCACATACGCTGGCTATTGGACAAGCTCCTACTAAGTGGGTCTTGACTCTGCTGGTGAGCTGGGCCTGGCCTGGCCTTGCTTGACTGGGGTCCTGGAGAACTAAAAGAGGCAATCCTTTCCCTCTCCTGCGATACATGGCCCAATCAGACACCTGGAATTTGGCAGGCTGAGGTGACCTGGCCTCCTTCTGGACATGAAGAGTTGACTTGAAAACACTGTAGGATGCTATTTCCAACACATGTGGAGGTAGACTGGTAGTTGTGTTTTTTAATTTTTATTGTGATTTGGGTGAAAGTTCATAGAGTAAATTCATTTTCCATACAGCAGTTCATACACATTTTGTTTCATGACATTGACTACAATCCCCACAATGTAACTGTTCTCTTCCCACTTCCTCCCTGCAGTTATCTCTTCTGTGTGCCTTTCTTTCCTATGCATTCCTGCCCCCCAACATAGCTCCCTGTGCAAATACTGCCCTTCTGATCTCCCATGGCTGATCATTCTTAGGAGTGTAGCTACCTGATCTAAATGTTCACCACCCTTATATGCCTCTCTATTCTTCGACATGAAGCCATGGGAGTGAATTCAATTCCAGGCCTGAAGGTAACTAGGGGTCATAGTCTTGGGGGCTCTCACTAGCCTCCATCAGACCAGTGAACCTTGTCTTTTTTATTATTTTGAATTTTGTTCCACATTATTCTCCCACTTTATCCAGGATCTCCTACACTAATCCCTTTCTGAGTGGTTGACAGTGGTAGCCTGGCACCATCTAGTTCTTCTGGTCTCATGGGTCATACAGGCTGAGGTTTGCATGGTCCACTAGTCCCTTGGTCTAATTGCTTCTGTGTGTCTTTGGTTTTCTCTTTAGTCTTCTTTGCTCCAGATAAGAGACCAGTTATTGAATGTAGATGGTAGACTGGTAGTTTGAAGTTTGACTAGCAACTAGCCACAATCTTTCAGCCAGGTCCTCCTTCTCACCAGTGTCTTGGTGATGCTGTTGCTGTACAGCACCTGTGACCTGAGAGGTGCCAGCTTTCTCACCTCTCTGTTCCAGGCTTGTGCTTATAAAGGAATTATCCTCAAGTCATTTTATTCCCCATGTTGGTTAAAGTTACTCACCTACCCCTTACTCTGCCAGGGAAACTCCTAAATAAGCCACCATGAAAAGAATAAAAACAATCCCATCCATAATATCTATGCTACAAATGATGATGTAAAGTTTCACTCTGCACAAAAACTTCATGGGTGGGAATTTGGTCTCTTTGGAAATAACCCCATGCAGTGGTTAATGCACTCAGCTGCTAAGGAAAAGTGGGGAATTTGAGTCCACCCAGAGGTGCCTTAGAAGAAAGGCCTGGTGATAAAAAAACTAAGACTTCCAATGGTATAAGGCCCTCTTCCATTTACGAGAAAGCCTTAGTTTTAAGTCAATCTGCAGAAGTCCAGTCATTTATCTGGTCTACGAGCACAGGTGGTAAGCAGAATATTGGGTCAGAAAACTGCAACCAGAAGGGGAAAAGGAAGGACTTCACGTCTCACTCCAGCCTAGGACACAGTCATATTGAGGAGCCTGGAGCTCCAAATCCAAACACCATAGTGCTTGGTCATTAAAGCCATGACAGTTTGCTAAAATAAGGAAGGAAATGCAGCCCATCTGGAGAAACAAAAAAAATGCTACAATAGATTTCAGTCCCGTATGCTCAAAATTCACTAAGAGAGGAGGAAGGTTTAAGAAACCCGAAGGGAAGAGAAGTCCAGGGGCAGGACTGGCAGCAGTTGGTTTGCAAAATCAGAGGAATGAGCCCTGCTGCCTTTTCTGATCGAGTTATGAAGTTAATTGGCCTGAGGCAATCCTAAATAAGCCATTAATTGTCCCATTTTCTGTGATACTATTGGAGAAATTGCTTTCGATGGCTGGGTCACAAAGGCTTGGGGTCACACAGGGCTGTGAAACCAGTGCCAACTAGTAATGGCTTCCTGGTTGTTCAGGCAGCACTGTCCAAGGAGCTGTAAAGCACCTCCCAGGTCAACGTCTCCCTGTTTGGTGAGGCATAGAGGGTCCTTCCTTCCAAACCCACCCTCCCTCTTTAATAACAGAGTATAGAAATGGGAAAGGAGCATAAGAAAGCACTAAAGACAGCTCTAATCTTTAATAAAGGGCACCAAGTCAATTATGAAGGGAATCCACGGAATAAAATAGGGCTCTGGAAGGATAAACAGTAGATGGTTTATTCCCAAGTTAATTAACTGATAGTGGCAGTCATGTTGGCTGCACAAGTGCTCTGGTGCTGCCTCACTCTTGTCCCCAGGGTCTGACCAGATTTGATAGATGCAGTTGGGTGCTCAGTTAGACAGATACCTCACTCACCAAGCCAAGCCAAACCCAACCCAA